AAGCAGTAAGTTTTCTTCATCAAACCTTTAGATCCGCTGCGCATAGGTTTATGTTGAATGTTTGTCCGTGATTTGTGCATATCGAGATCCTCGTGGGTTCCAACATCAATAACTCGGTTAAATGGTTTGACTAACTAACTCATTTAGCGGTTTGACTTCAATAACTCTCGTAATATGAGGATAAACATAAAAGAGCAAATTAACAAAACAATTAACACATAGACAATACGTCTCCGAACATGTCTACTCTAAACGAGCCAATTTCCATCAACTTCTCCCCTCTCGGTTTTGAAATCGATTATTTCTACGACTCCTCCCCTTTCGGTTCTAAAAGTCGCAATTCGTAGAATTAACAAACTCTCACTCAACAAATCAATATTCAGGCACAAATCAAAGTGTCACTCTTTGATTATATCCACAAATTAACCTAAGTGTCACTCTTAGGTTATACAAATTTATCAAGTGTAATTTTATCATTTCATAATTAAAACAACTCGTCAAGATTGAGCTATTGTCATGCACATAAACGAGATTAAACCGGAAAGATCATTCCCTACCCCTAGCTATAGGATTAGCTACTCATACTTGATCCAACACAACAAAATATTTCTCCAAATTCAATCATTGTTCATGAATTAAACAAGAAGAAAAACTTACATTTAATCTCAATCCAAGTATTGCATTCAAATACAAGCTTCCTCCTTAATACGAAATGAAGAAAAAGAAAAGAAAATAAAAGAAGAAACGAAATAGAGGAGGGGAAGAACCTCTTCTTGTTCAAACCATGCAAGGTGAAAATGAAGGAGAAATGGAATGATTTTCAAGCTTGGAAATGCTCCCCTTTTATAGCCAAATGATCCCCCTTCTTGCTTAAGATTAATAGCTGAAAATGTCACTTTGTGGTGTCTTTCACGCCATTGAAGAAGATTGAAAAGACTGGGTACCAACCATCACTAAAAATGAGCTTAAAAATCATAAGTTGGTAGAAAAATGGGTAGTAGCGTCGCTACTAGGGGGTTAGCGCCGCTACTATGCCGA